GAGGACGAGGAGGCGGAGGAGTTGGCGGAGGAGAGTAGGAAGAGCAGGAGGGGGAGGAGGAGGAGGAGGAGGAGGAGGAGGAGGAGGAGGAGGAATATGAGGAGGAGGAGGAGCAGGGGGAGGATGAGGAGGAGGAGGAGGGAGGGAGGAGGGATTATGTTGGATTCTGCGGGTCGAAAGAACACGATGCCCCATGGAATCGCGCCGCGGGCCATCCTGGCCGCATCGGGCCGTCCCCGAGCCGAGCCAGGATGCCGTGCCCTATGGGGGCTAGCCTCAAAAGGGTTTTCCAGTGGTGGGATGTGTACATTGCCAGCGTCTCTTAAGCCTACCCCGATCACCTTTTGGGCCCACAGGGCAACATGGGGAAACTATGGCCGACCATCTGTCGCGGGCGTACCTGGCGCACCTACGACAGAACACATACGATTGACGGAACACGAGCTTGTGTTCCGTTCTTATGGTTTTGTTGATTTTGACAGCCCCCCAGTCCAGAAGGGCCCGCGGAGGTGGGGTGGCCGTCAGGGGTGGGGGGGAGGGGCCGCTTCGGCCCCTTCACCCGCACCGCCAGCCGTCCAAGGAGGCCCAGGAAGGTCCAGGAGCTCGAGGGCGGGGTTGGGGAGTTCGAGTCCAACGACGGACTCGAGCCCTTCTCAGTGTCGGCGATGTCGCTTCATAGCACTCCTACGGACGCTCCGAATGCGAGGATGTCCCGAACGAGATTCTACGTATCTGTATACGTCTCTCTACACCGGGAGGGGTGGGTATGGAACAGAGCCCTTTGCTTGGCGTATTGATCAGCTATGTTGTTGCCCTCCCACCTCGCGCGGCCGATGTGCTCTCTGTCGGCCTGCGAGGCGTGAGCTTTGACTTTACAGACCTGCACGCTGTGGCTCAGTCCGCCGAGCTCCTTCAGAGCCCTGAGCATCCCGTCCCAGAGGTCCAGGTGCAGGAGGCCCGCCTTGCCAAGCCTGCTGGGGCCCCTTAGGATACCTTTGCTTACGTTCTGGCAGTCAGTGAAGATCCTCAGCGAGGGTACTCCGTTCTTCAGCATCTGCAGCGCTGCGTAGAGTTCCCCCCGCAAGATGTTCTGTGTCCATTGTGGCCCTGGCTATGGCTCGTAGCACACGTACTCCATGTCGTGGCTCTCGTCTCGGAAGTTCGTGAAGCTCCAGCCTGCTCTCCGCAGCGGGGGGTAGCTTCCGTACTGCAGGGAATCGTCCGTGTAGATGTCACATGTCGCGAGCCCCATCCAATCGCTTTCGTGCAGCCATTCGTCGCAAGACTCGATGCTCAACACGTTCAGCCCCTCTGCGGGGTCCGCCGTGCTGCCGCGGCCCCTTCAAGCCCTCAGATGCACGTCCTCCTGGCCATGGGTTGGCGCCTCTCTGCACGATGTGTCGCCCACCCATTTGCTCTCGTATGTGCTGATTTGCTGGGCAGACGAATGTCGTGTGACGATCCGTCCCCTTCGCCGCCCCGCATGCCCTGCATGTGTCGTCCGTCGCTGCCCCCTTAGCGTAGAGGCGCGCCTGTGGCCACATGCCGCCACACAACAAGACTCGCACTCTTGTGCGGTGTGCTTGCGTCCACCGTCCCTTCAGCGGCCGCTGCAGTAGTGCCCGCATTGGTGCACGGAAGACGGACGTGATGCCGCAGTCGCCCCCGTGTTCCTGCAACCAGCTATCCTTGAGCTGCTGCTCCGTGGTGGTGGCGACCAGGTGGTACAGCTCCTGCAGTCTGGTGTACCGCAGGTCGTAGACTCTATTACCAATTGTGCTAGCAGATGCCGACTGCGTCATCCAATCCGACCGCCGCACTGCAGCAATGACAGACCCAGCTGGCCCTCGTACTGTCAGCCATGGTGACTTGCACAGCGCGAGCTTCGTGGCCTACGTTCTCCATGCCATGCTCAGCCTGTTCGCCAACTGCTCGTCGAGGGCCGCCTCCTGCCACGCTGTAGCCCGCGCTAGGATGGGCCCGCTGTTGATCAGGTTGCCAGGGTCCACGTTGTCGCTCAGCAGCGTGAGTGCCCTGCTGGTAGTGTGGACCACCCCTTCGTGGTGCCCTGCATCGCCATTGACACGCTCGCCCTCAGCTCACTCAGCTTGGTGTCCGCCATGCCGACGACGGAGGGCCCATAAAGTAGGGCTGGTACCGTGGCGTGCGCCTGACGATCTTGTCTGCTGCTCCTCCTGCCGACCTCACGGTTGCCACCCGTGAGGCCCTGCCTGCAAAACTTGAGTTCCCGCTTGTTGATGGCGGTCACCCTTCTTCTCTTGCCCGCTGCTGCTGTGGCGCCCAGGTGCGTGTCCTGCTTGGCGGCTCGTACCCCCCGGCGCCGGGAGCTGGCGGGCAGGCTGGTGCTCAGCTCGGTGGACGAGGCCAGGGTGGCCGTCTTGCCTTCGGAGCCGCGCGAAACTGCCATGTCCGGTCTTTCTCCGAACACGTGGATCACTGCCGCGATGAGCAGTGGGCGGATTTGCTTCACGAGCTCGCGCACTCCGTGCGTGGCCATGGCGAGATCGTCGAAGAAAAGGGTGTCCGTCCACAGGAACTTGAGGACGAGCTCGTCCAGCTTCAGGATGATCACCACCTTGAGGCAATATGGGGCATACCTGCGCCCTGCCACGGCGCCTCGCTGCCATGCATTTGCGTCGGTGTAGCTGCCGTCCAGGACGATGCGCCTCACCATTCTGTAGATGCGCGGGACGACCCGCATGACGACGGAATTGAAGTCCCACCGCCTCGCCGCCTCCCACGCCTTCGTGTGCGTGACCCATTTGAAGCACTTGACCAGGTCGAAGTAGGTCACCACGTACTTTTATCCGTCTGCCCGCGCCGACTCGCAGCACAACGCTTGCCGCCAGACAGCCCGCTCTGGGGACCGCCCAAGGCGCGCCCAGTCGTGGGCTCTCTTGTTGGCCACCCCCCAGGGGCGCGCGTGCGGGATGCGAAAGGCCCCCACACGCGCGCTAGCTCGGGGACGAGGCCCAGGTTGCGGAAGCCTCCCGCAGGCTTCGACATGAGGTAGAACAGGATGGTCGCCTGCGCTGTCGGCCATGGCGCGCCCTTTTCCATTGCGTTCAGCATGCTTTCCACGCGCGCTGCTCCCTGATCGCCTCCCTGTCGCCAACTGCGCGGATGCCAGCCCGCTTCGCCCAAGCCCGCGCTGGCTCGGAAGCATCCGCACGCGTCCAGGACCTCCTTGGGGGTGGTCCTCGGAACCGCGCACTCGCTCAGCTCTAGGATTGCCCGGGCCAGGTGCAGCGGCTCGTCGAGGTCGTAGTTGGCAGCCCATACTTTCCCCCAGCCCGCCAGTGCCGCGTCCGCCGCCACCTGCGGGCCCAGGAAGTGGTCCGAGGAGTAATCTCTGGATGGATCGGGTCGTCCACCTCTACTCGGTACGCGGTGACCATGTCCGCGTCGACATCACTCATGTCGCGCCATCGTTGTCGCCGCCCTCTTCGCTGTCGACCTCGCGCTCGAGGCCGTCGCTCCAGGCGGGATGGTGCCGCCTTAGCAGCGGCGCGATGATGGCCTTGTCGAGGATGCCTTTGGCGTTGCGGCGCGCCCAGTCCAATGTCTCGTCCTTGCCTGCAGCACGCCACTGTCGCGTAGCCGCGGCGAGCTGGCCCCGGCCTCCTGCGAAGCCACTCTGCCGCTTTGGCCCACTCCTGCTGCCTCGAAGCCTCCTCCACCTGAGGCGCCCTCAGCACCCCCCAAACGTGGGTGGGGAGCTGCTGGTGGCCTTTCCGTTCGTAGAGCTCTTTGCCGACGAAGTTGCGGTGCCTGTTGAGGTTGTCCTCGTAGGTCGCCGCCGGTTGGCTCCAGTAGTCGCCCGTGCCTGTCTGCTTGCGCTGCTCTACCTGGAGTAGCCGCGGCCAGGTCGTCTGCCCCGATGCGCATCCCGTCGGTAGTTCCAGCGGCCACCGCTGCAGCCGCCTCGGGACTCGCACCCACTTGGGAGCCAGCTGACCTGGCACACGGAGGAGGACGGACGCGTGCGGCGCCACGTTGCGTTGGTCCTGCACCTTCGCTGTGATGGCCTTGTCGGCCAGCGCCTCAGAGATGATGTAGTAGCCCCTGTGCCGACTGACCCCCATCATAGTACATGGCACCCCTGTGCGTGTCGAACCCGATCATCCCTCCCATCCTCTTGGGCACGCCTGACTCCTCGAGCTATGTCTGGTCCATGTTGGAGTCGCCCCCGAGGATCCACTGTCGGCCCGCTGCATGCGCTGCGCTGGTGAAGCCCCTCAGGATGGCCTCGTTCTTGTCCGCCATGCCATCGCTGACCCGCGTGTGCACGGAGCCGACGGCGATGCCCTGGGCGTCGATGGCCGCGAGCGCGCCAATCGCCACGCGGCCCGCGGAATCCGGCGGCGACGCGCCCCACTGTTCCAAGCCTCTGCTGTAGGTGGCCCCCACGGACGGCACGGCGGCGAGGGTGGCCCCCGCGCTCCCGCCGCCCTTGGTCTCGACGCTTGGCGCGACGCCCGCGCGCCAGCTCGCCTTCTGCACGCGCTTGGTAAACCAGGGGGTAGTGCGCGGGCTGGCCTGCAACTCCTGCGCCATCACCACTGGCGCACTGCTAGTTTATCTGATATGATTGAGCACCCTCTCCAGCGTGCCGATGGATCTCGCATTCATTGCGTTGAACTCCTGCCCGCCCGTTCATTCGTCAGGAACGCGGCGGTGCTTCCCGCGCCCCATCGTTGATCCCGAGGGCGTGGCCAGCGGGCAGAGCAGCCAGCAGAGGAAGTAAAAGAGGCTCGCCCATTCATCTGCTCGGCGGCGCAGCCCCCTTTCTCAATGATGTTGCGCATGTCCTTCTCGCTGGCCCTCGCGCGGGAACTCGAGCAACTCCTCCTTGATCTCCGCGTCGGCCCTGCGCTTGGGCCGCCAGCGCTGGCTTTCGTGTTGCGCGTCGGCTCTGCCGCTGCGGCTGCCGTTGCCTCGGCCTCTTCCGCCCCCTTCGCCGCGCGCCCCTCCTCGGCCTTCTTCCGGTTGTTCGCGCGCCGCAGCGCTTCCTGGAGCTTGGGGTCAGCGCCCCTGTCGCGCAGGCACTTGGCGGCCTGCTCGAGGAAGGCGACCGCTGCCCCCCATCTTTGCCCAGGCTTTGGCACGCCGGGGTCGTCGATGCGCTGCTCGAGCTTGCCAGGGGTCCCCCCATGCCTTGCCAGAGCAGCCCTGTCTTTCTTCAGCGTCTCCGGAGCTTCGATGACCTCCTTCTCCTGCTTCTCGACGCGCTCCTCGGCGCGGTCCCGCACGCGCCCGCGCTTGTTCCTGTCTCGCACCACTCTGCGCTCTGAGAAGCAGCGCGGCACTTCGCTGTCTGCGTCGACAGTCTCCTGCAACTGGCCCACCTGCCACTGCAGCGCGGCGGTGTTCCCGCCGCCAGGGGGCCGAGCTCTGGGCCCTCAGCCTGCTTCCGCAATTTCTGGAGGCGCCCTCTGAGCTCGCGTAGCTTTGCTTTGGCAGCGCCCTCGCTCTCTCCTTGGCCGGGCCGACTGCTTGCGCCTCCACCAGTGGACTTCGCGCCGCCCTTGGTGCCCCAGCACTTCCGGCAGCAGTCGTCGCCAGCCCCGTTCTGGACCTCGCATGCTGCGCAGGTCCACCCATGGCGCGCGCGGGCGTGGGCGCCCATTCAACTCGCGAGCGCAGTGCCGCTTCGAAGTCGGCGCCCGCCGACGCCAGGCCAAAGGCGGGCTCGGCGCGAAATGGCTTCAGGGAGGGGGGGGGGGGTAGGAGGGGGGGTGGGGTGGGGGGGGGGGGGGGGGGGGGGGGGGGGGGGGGGGGGGGGGGGGGGGGGGGGGGGGGGGGGGGGGGTAGGGGGGGGGGGGGGGGGGGGGGGGGGGGGGGGTGGGGGGGGGGGGGGGGGGGGGGGGGGGGGGGGGGGGGGGGGGGGGGGGGGGGTGGGGGTGGGGGGGGGGGGGGGGGGGGGGGGGGGGGGGGGGGGGGGGGGGGGGGGGGGGGGGGGGGGGGGGGGGGGGGGGGGGGGGGGGGGGGGGGGGGGGGGGGGGGGGGGGGGGGGGGGGGGGGGGGGGGGGGGGGGGGGGGGGGGGGGGGGGGGGGGGGGGGGGGGGGGGGGGGGGGGGGGGGGGGGGGGGGGGGGGGGGGGGGGGAAAGGGGGGGGGAGGGGGGAGGGGGGGGGGGGGGGGGTGGGGGGGGGGGGGTGGGGCGGAGTGGGGGGGGGGGGGGGGAGGTGGGGGGGGGGGGGGGGGGGGGGGGGGGGGGGGGGGGGGAAAACCGAGAGGAGGAGGAAAAGCGCAGAGAGGGGGGGGGGCGGGGGGGAGGAGGTGGGGGGCGGAAGGAGGTGGGGGAGGAGAAGGAGGAGGAGGAGGAGGAGGAGCAGGCGAGACCGCTGCGCCTCGGTCCAGCTCATAGGATGGGAGCCGCAGAACTAGAGAGCTCGGCTGGGAACGACAAAGGTCCCCGCATCCGCGCCGCCGCGCCGCGCCGCCTCATCCCCGCTCTCCATGCCGCAACCGACGCAGTGCACGTGCGCGGCGGGGCGGGAGGGCGACGACGGCGAAAGATGGCAGGGGCGGCGCAAACGCGCTCGCCGCTGGGACCCGCGGGCGCGATTGTCTCGGATCTCGACAGCGCCTGGAACCTTCGCGTCCGCGCCAGAGCCCGACGGCGCAGAGGCGCAGCGATATTTGGGCTCCTCGCCGCAAAGTAGTAGTATGCCCCGTCTTGGGGAGCAGGCCGCGCTCCGCGCGCCTGACCGTGGACCTCGCCTCTGGTTGGCCAGCGCGGCAGGCGCGCTGCCGGGCCCCTTGCAGGCCACGGGCAAATTACGGAGCGAGCCCGACGCGCCGCGCGCTGTACCTCCTGCACGCGAATACAGGGCCATCTAAGAAGGGGTCATGGCCCTGGTCCTTGGAAGGAGCGAGGGGGTCAGAGGCGGGGTCGCGCGGGGGCGCCATGGGGGGGCGGCCATGGGGCCCCTCCTCCTGGGCCAGGACCTCGGCCAGCCCGCGTGCCCCGCTCGCAGCTTCAGCCCTCATAACCGCATAGGACTGGCCATGCAATCGGAACCACTCAGTGGTGGCAGCAGCTCGCGCAGGTGTCGGTTCACATTGACGCGCGGCGCGGCTGGTGAGCAGGGCTTCGAGGGGATGTTCGTTGCGGGCGACGGGGCCGCAAGACTTGCACTTCCACTCGCCTCTGACATCGCTTCGCCACGTGATGGGGCCGGCGATCTGAACCTTAGGGGCGGCAGCATGGCTCGGGGCCAATAATGGCATAGCGGGCAGGTAGCAAGTTGTTTCGCTGCTCTGCGCCGTCTGTTGGGCGGCCCAGGCAATGGGTCGAACGGTCGACCTGTGGCATTCTTATTCCCCCGCCAAAGAAGGCATGGGAAGCCGAGCCGATTTTCGCGAAGCAGCCCGCCCAGTCATTCCCGGCCCGCGCGTGCAAGCTTAGATCTTTGTCGATCGCATCATCGAGCGAGAGGTGAGCGGGCTGCCAGTAAACTCGCGGGGCGTTTTCTCGAATTCGGTGCATATCGGCCCAAATCGCGGCGCGCCTGGCAGCTCCGCGCGCGGAGCCCTTGCTCCGCGGATTCCCTTCCCGCGCGGTTGCATGGAGGTCATGCGTTGCCCGAGACAGCGCGGGGTGAAAATGAGAAGCCTGCCTGACAGACCATCTCTCGACACGCCCGGTAGCAGGGCTGGGCCTAAGCGGTGTTTTTTGGCGAGTTCGTGGGCCGTTGTCGTTTCGATTTCGTTTTGCGGTAGAGGTGGATTGAAGACAAAACGAGGGAAAACGAACGCAACACGAAAACGGATAACACCGTTTAGGTCAAGTCCTGCCCGATAATCTGAAATTGACTTGGGAGAGCTCCGAAGACGGCGCGGCGCGGCGGGAGCGAGGACAGGATCTGAACGGCCTCCCACCCTGCGCGCGCGACTTTGCGAATGCTAGACTGCAGGCAGCTTCCGCCCACGAAAACATCGGGCCCCGCAACTCCTCGAACGCCCCTCCACTCACCAACGACAGGATTGTGTTGGGGGGCCTGAATGATCGTGGTTTTCGGAAAAGCCGGGGGGCCATAAGTTAAATGCGTAGTGTCGACCTGCGGCTGCGCCGCGATGTCAAGGCTAGCCTGAATATCGGGCCCGGCGATGCCTCATAAAAAGTTCGGGCGCTTGCTCGCCACGGGTCTTGGTCTCCGTCGACCAGCCCAGGCCATTGACACCGCGTGCGGCCGTAGGTGCCATCCTCGCACTGACAGACTCGTCAGCGGGGGCGCCACGAGGTATCCCTGGGCAGCGCGAGCAGCAGGCAGAGGAAAGACATGTGCCCAGACTGCGGAGAGCGCTCCCGGCCGCTCCGGGCACGCGATACTGCGCGTTCCATTCTTGGGCGCACGATGCCAGATGATCTCGCTGCCAGTGGACGTGGACATGCGTCGCAGCAGCCTGCCGCGCGGCCAGCGCTCGATGCTCCTGATGAGGAGCAGCTTGACGTCGCGCGGGCACAACTGCAGCAGGCTGGTGCGATTGCCCTCGTCCACGTAGGCGTGCGCGTTCGATGTGGTCCAGCCTACGCGCATAAGTGAGAGCCAGGTACAGGAAATGGGTCCCCGCGCATTTTGCCATGTAGGGTTCGACTGCATGGCCAGTGCAAGCTGACCCCAAGCGCGCTGCATTTTGCCCAGGGACAACCGCGAGTCCCATTTCCATATAGCGTACCTGACCCTGATGCTGAGAGCGCAGTCGAAGATGGGGTCGCATCGCGCGTCTGGGTTGGCAATGAGGTAGGCAGTGGCTCCTCCATATGGCTTGCCCGAAGTAAGGATCAAGGCAACGTTCCGAACATATCAGAAGGGGCGTGTCCATGAAGCCTGCCTTGCCTGCCCCATGGCCAGCAGCTGGGAGGGCCCCTGTCCTCCAGAGTTTGGCTGCGCGACGTCCGTTGGCGCCCTTGAGGGAAAGGTGCTTCCTTTTGCGCTGCTGGAGGTCTTTGACTCTGGTCTTCTTTTGGCATCGCCTGACCCTCATCGCCGACAGCTCGTGGCCCAAGCTGCGCATCCGAGGTCGGAACTTCAGGGCCAGCCACCTGGCGCTCTTGATGAATAGCACTCGCGAGTGCGCCGTACTAGTGACGATCCCTGACTTCTCGGGCTGCGCGTGGAGCCCCAGCCCTTTGGCATCGCAGGTGAAAATGCGAACTTCTTTCTCGAAGAGCATCATGTCTGTCTTGGAGTCCGCGTTGAGCTGTATAGACGCATCGCCCACCCGGCCCCTTGGCGCGATGCACGGGGCCACTACCCTGAGCCTGTTTTACAGCACGAAAAGTGAGGAGGTGCAGAACTCCAGTGGCACGTGAGCATCCAGCTAGGATGCTTCGGCAGGCCTGCGCCGCCACTGGCACGCATCCAAATGCTTTCAGCCGCCTGGGCCGTCGGCAAAAGTCGATGTGCATCCACGCAAGCTTGACAGGGACATTCAGCTCAATCGCCTCACGCAACATTTGGGCGCGTTTAATCATGTCGAAACATGTAGTCATGTCAAGCAGCCCTGCGATTGAAATCTCGCCGGGAAGGGCCGACACCTCTGCGCTCAGATTATGCGCAATCGCGTTGTCGGTTGAACTGTGGCCCTTCTGGGTTCCCCAGAGCTCACAGGAAGCATTATTCTTCTGCCGCGCGGCAGTGAGGGGCTGCCTGATTTTGCCCCAGAGCCAACACAGGGTTTTGATTAATGCGATAAGTCGCGTTCCACCGTCTGGTTTGGCCAGCCTGACAAGCTCGGTGACGACGCGATCGTTCGGCCAACCCAGCAGGCGCTTGCATTCATTAAAGAGGAAACGTATGCTAGCGTGGGCCTCATTCGAGAGGTGCCAGGGCGCTCTAGGGCTACCTTCGAAGGGCTTGTAGCAGTTCTAGCGCTGAAATTGACAATTCCCCCCCCCCCCCCCGACGTGGCGGGGTTCCATCTAGGCAGGGCAGGCCAACAGTGGGCGTCTTCGGGGAGCGGAAGGGGGGGGGGGGGGGGGGCAATCGTGAGTCCCCCAGAGCACAGCCCACGGCTCGAGCTCTTGCTGCACGAGGTAAGATGGCTTTGCAGCAGCGCTGAATGTAATGATTTCTTGCACGGCACGAATTATTTTGGTGAAGCGGTGGGCTGGGAGGGCCTTTGGAGAAAACTCTGATTGGCCCATTCCAGGCCAGCGCGGTTCGCATCGGTCCCGGCCCCCTGGATCCTGGCCTGGGCGGAGGTATAAATGCGCGTCAGCACTTCAGAGATATCTCACCGACTGAGCGCGACGATGCCCGAACTGAAACAGTCAGCAGGGCTGGGCCCTAGTCGAACGAGCAATTTTTCCATTGGCGATCTTGCGCATGGAGTGGCTAAGCACA